TATAATTTCCTCTTTTTTTGGCTATATATAGTGCTCTTTTCTTGGATAACAACAAGCTCACTCTCTCCTCATGGCAGAATTCATTTGAAGTTCTGAGTATATTTAGCCATAAGTAATCAAAAGTAAGTTTCATCAGCTTTTTTTTTTTTTTCTGTGTTTTTGATGAATTTATGTTCATCTGATATGTGATTTCACTAATTTTTCCACATCAGCACTATTCAGCTTCTTAAAGGTCATTTCACAGCCTACCAGATGATGGATAATTTAAATTTCAATGGTTGCTATGATAATCTACAAGAACAATTGCAAGAGAGAGCTTACAAAGCTGAGATCATGGATGAAGCTCTACTCATCTGGGCGCATGAGATGAACGAAAGCTACAGAGAAACAGATCCAGATTTTTCACATCAGAAAGAAGAATTTTTTGCATCTGATCATCAGCAGCTTCTTCTTCCTCCGATCAGTTGCAGTTCAGAAAACCGGCAACTCATCAGAAACATTGTAACTTTCAGCAATCAGAACAAAGATTCAAACTTTAAAACTGTGATGAGGAGAAGAGATCAAGATTATTGTAATCCATTAAAGTCGAAGAAATCGAAAGTGGAGGACTGTCATCCCGAGCAGACAAACATTGCTTTCCAGCAAGAAGAAGGCGAGGAGGTCGACAGGGAGGCGATAGCTCGAGTGAAGGAAATGATATACAGTGCTGCAGCATTGATGCCGGTGATGTTGGGGGCGGAGGAGCAGGGGATGGTGGAGAAGCCAAAGAGGAAGAACGTGAGGATATCGAACGACCCGCAAACCATGGCGGCGAGACAGAGGAGGGAGAGGATCAGCGAGAGGTTGAGGGTGTTGCAGAGATTGGTTCCTGGAGGGAGGAAGATGGACACTGCCTCCATGCTTGATGAGGCTGCTAATTATCTCAAGTTTTTGAAAGCGCAACTCGGTGTTTCGGAGAGGAGTGGAGATGGAAGTGGTGTTGGAAGCTTCTCTTGCGAACAAAATTGTATTTTTAGCTTCCCCAGGCACTGATGTCAGTGCTCCGGGGGGGGGGGGGGGGGGGGGGGGGGG